TGTGAAGGTGCTTACGAATTTGTAAAGTTTTATCGGAAAAATCGGAAGGAACATTCGAGTTTCTTTTCTTTTGTAAAGAAACTCAGGTGAAATAAAGGAATTTTTCGATTTTCTGCCAAATTTCGGACGAAACTCTAAATGAACATTCGAAAATAGGAAAGTTTTCGGATACTTTTTCAGAAATGAAAAAAAAATCGGCTATTATCCGTTGTTTTTATTCGAAATTCGGAAATTTATGTTGATCTGAAATTCGGAAAATTTCCTTGCCGAAAATTTAACACATCTGTTTATGTTTTAACATAGTTTCCATATAAAAGTTACGCCTGATTGCCGTTATTTAGAAGGTGTTTTCGGCATCTCAAATCGAAATGGCTATAATTAGGTATTTCGGGTATTCAGGTTATAAAAGTATGTCTTCCATTTCATTATGGTTAGCTTTTTAAATTTCAAATATTAGGTTGGGGATAAAAATAATCGCTTGGCGATTCACTGTAGATGTTCTAGTGGAACACGCTTCACCGCTCTTTGGCCACGATCGTTTTCGCTTCTTTTTGAATCCAGCTTTGTGTAAACGGTTTAAAATAGTTTTATGGTCGATTTTTAGCTCCTGGGCGATGTTACGACTGCTAACATGACGGTCAACTTTGATTATTTCTCCGATTTTATAGACATTTTCGACGACCGGTCTAATGGATTTCTATTTCCCAAAGTATAATTTTTAAAATTTTACTTATTTTTTAAATCTCATTTTCAAATTGCCCCTTTGACTGCATCAAATACAAACATTTCGTTTTCCTTTTTTAAATTTCTTTTTAGATTATTCGCAGATTACTCGGAAAGAAATCGGAGAAATAGTAGACAATATCGAAAATATAGAGTCAACACTCTTCTGAAATTGATTTTTTTTTTTGTTTTTCGAAACAAAATACACACAATAAAATTTCCCTTCAGACTATGTGCAGATTACTCGGAAAATAATCGGAAAACCTTTAGAGAATCTGATATCAGGTTTTTACTCAAACCGTTGATTGTATTTGTGTATATTATTTTATTTGTCATTAATAGAACATAGTTGTAAAAAGATAAGTTAAATTTGGATCTATTTCAAATTTCGACGTGACTACCATACGTTCGAATAGACTTTCGATCGCTTTAGAGAAACAGTCTCACATTCATAGTCTCATATTCATACTCAGAAGATCTCATCTGCAAAATATTATAAATAAATAATAGCCTATAATAACAACTTCTGTTAACAATAAAATGTACATTTATAAAATTATATATTTTATGAGATATTTTTGTTAATAGAAGATATCGTATCGAAGTATTCAATACCGATTTGAACTGGTTATTATTTTCTCTGAGGTTGTCGTAGTATTCCATAACTTAAAAAAAATCATCCATAGTATTCCATCTACTGTTCATCACAATCTGAAATCTCTATATGTTTCACATTTAAGAAATATTTTCTTAAGGATATTAAATTGGATCAAGTGTGGTTATTTTTTATCTACAAATATATATATATATATATATTTATGTACCATGTATATAATTTGTGGTTGTCCACATTTACTTCTCAACCACAACCATATTCACACAGATGAAATTACACACATATACTTATACATACACACATATACTTATTTTGAACTAAATTCGTTTACGGTATCCATTGTGGAAATTTAGCAATGTTATTAAAAACGTTCTGATAACCGAATCTGAAAGTACTAAATTTTTGTTGCTATTTTTATTTTAGTTGTAGTTACCAAAAACAGAGAAAGAAAACAACACCATTCGTTATGGCTTCATATGAAATGAGTTCTTCGTTGTTTGTTTTCTTTGTAGTACTATTTCGTTTTTTTCTTCATTTTGAATTTATTTCGAATTGATTTTCTCCCCGATCTATAAAGTCGACTTTCAAGTTTCTTTTGTGTTTCATTTAAAAAACTGGAAGTTTAACTACAGCTTTGTTTCTTTTTTGTTGCTGTTGTTGTTGCTGTCGTATTTCATTTTTATCTTCAGTAGCAATACAAGTCGTTGTTTTTCTTGTTGTTGTGGTCGTCGTAGTCGTCTGATTTATATGCTATCTTTATTCACTCATGTCTCTGGTACACAGAAATTCTGGTTTTAAGTCGACTTTTGTGGAGGAGAAGGAAAAGAAGAAGAAGAAATCAACAACAACAATACAAAAAAGCAAAAATAAACCAAAAACCAAACAAACCAAAAAAAAAGAAAAAAAACAGACAAAATAATTAATTTTGAAACTGCAAGAATACGAAATATGTGGTAGGGGTCAGGGTTATCGGTTTCAACATTCACAGCCACAGCGAGATTATTTCATAGACATTTGACATACATACAGACATGTTCACGCTAGTTATGTACACATGTTGGGTCTCAAGTACTTAAAGTATCAATTAAATGTCCAATGGAATACCACCCAGTCTTCAACTTCGATTACTGTTAAGATTTTTATATCGATTTACATTTCCTTAGACCGGATATGGATCGGGTTGATTGAAAATCATGTTACGGTAAATGTGAACACCACCGCTTCGTTTCCTCATTAAGTCAATTGTCATAAAAAACCGAAACGAAAACCAATTGCATTACTGCATTGCTGTTGTAGTTGTTGCTGTTGTTAGTGTTGGTAATTTATTCTGAACCATGTGAGGCTTCCTTCCTTTACCTTTCCAAAAATATCATACGAAACCTGTTGCTGTCGTTGTCATTCTTGTACCGCAAACCATAAGCTGGCTGATTAATATATGCCGGAAAGTGAATATAAATTTGTGGATTATTTATAAATAGTTTTTTTTGTTTTGAAATAAAATTTAGAACATAACATTTTTATTGATGAAGTTGCGGATGGACATTTTTTTCTTAATTTCCAAACAGCAATGTCAATTTTCAATATCGAAAATAATGTTTTCTTTTCTTTAGTCATATTTTTTATTATCGAAATGGGCCAGTAGCAGTTAAGCTTCTGGTACATCTCGCAGAAATTGTCAGCATTTTTCTAGTTATTTATACACTGGTGGCCAAAACTAAAGCAACTAAAATTGCACTGTTTATAAATGCCACATAATTTTTTCAAAAAAAAAAAAAAAAAACAAAAACGATTTTTGTGTTGGGGTTTTTCAGTTTTAAAGCGGGTACTTTATTCACTTTAAAAAAAATAAAATCAGTATTCATTATGGAGATTATAATACGGGTAAGGGAATTGTCTCAATTTTTGCTTGGGCAAAACTAAAGCAACTCTACTATACAAACAGTACAAACATACACCAAAACATGTCAAAGATCGGTTGCGGGAGTAAAAAAAATCAGGGTTTTATAATGGCCAACAAAATCATCACATCTTTACCCTATAGAAAAATGTTTGGAGTATCATGGACAGCAAAATCAAAAGATTTTCACAAACAAACAGACATAGCCTTTTTCCAAAGGTTTAAAGTGCCGTTATGAAAAATAATAGTTATGCTGTCGATTACTAAAAAAATTTGCGTATTTATAAGAAAAAATCAAAAAGTTGCTTTAGTTTTGACCATGCAAAAAATTAGCCAATTTATTTATTGGGTCAATTAATTGGGTCAATTAATTAATCAATAGAATATTTTTTATTTCAAAATAAATTTTGCGTTTATATTTTTTATTTTTAAACAATTATAAAATGAAATTTCCAACAAAAAAAAAAAAAAACGTTCACTAAAAATTATTTTCAAAAAGTTACAGGTCATTTTTTCTGTTGCTTTAGTATTGGCTACCAGTGTATCTCTCAAAGAATATAACATATGTATTAGAATCATGCCCCTTGAATTGAGCTGAACATAATTTCCATGAGCCAATATTAAAAATATAACAATTAGCTGTCGTCCTTTTTTCTCTAAAATTTATTTTTTCATTACAATTTAATACCGACATTTTCCCCATACGATCAACCATTATTTTTAAGACCATGGACATATAATTATTACCGAATGACTCACTGTCCAATCGACGATATGTTTACTCATATCAACAAAACTGTTTATACCTATTAAATGCGACCTATTTTAATTTTAAACCGCCACTAAAATCTTATCATCCTCTATTACTAAGCTGGTAATGATAAAAGTTGTTTATTGCAGTAGGTGGTTCTGAGAAATTCAACAAACCAAAATTACCTATTTTTTTAATAATGGTTCTATAAAATATGCAATCTATTTCATCAGGATTAGAAATATTTCTCGAGAATATCAGGAATGTCTCGAGATTCCTAGTCTGATATTTAAGGAAATCATCGACTTCAAATTATGAGAGGGTGTAGTATTACCCTATTAACTGTCAACCGACATGGTGTCTGATCGGACCATACACATAAGTATGTACACATGTACTTGTTAGTACATATTTACAAATAAAATGTGTTATTTGAAGATAATGACAAACATTAGTAACGGCCGAGAAACATGTTAAATGCTATTATCAGGGTATCTATCAGCACGCCAACATATTCACAGATGTTGAAAAAAAATATAAAATATCCCTAAATATCGTTACTTTCAATTTCGTTTTAAATTTTAGACTATTTTTTTCTCGTTTTTTTTTTCATAAATATTTATTGCCTAATAAAGAAACGCCCTGTTTCTTCCTTCGCTATTGCGTTTTAGAATAAGCCCTCTTATCTGGAGTGTGTGCGTGCGTGTGTTCCATACATACAGACAACTTTCCCCCAGGAAAGTAACGTATTTTAAGATATACTTTTTTTAAAGTATCTACCCAAATATGTTATCAGCGAAAAAAAAAAAACAGTTCCTACCCAAATGCCATATTTACGCACTTAAGAGTGTGGGAATTTTTCTTTGTTTTTCTTGTTCTCTCACAGTTGATTTTCGTATTTACGCAGTACAAAGGACAGCGTAAAAAAGGACTATAAAAACAACCCTTAGCGATATTGATTTTTTCCTCCATTCCCGCTGACATTCTTGTATCAATTGAGAATTTTATTCGTTATGTATGAACGCAGTGCTCGTAAAAATCCGGGTAATCATGAATATAGATTCCAGAATAGCAGCAGTAATGTAAATTTATAAATACATACATACTCGTATATATGTATATATTCTCATTTAGTTTGTTCCAACATGGAACTAGTGGTTCAATTATCAGGGAACTAATAATGAAATAAGAACTACTGCGACATTGAGGTAGTTAATTTGTGTGTAAAAATGCCAAGACTTGAAATCGAAATGTTAATTTCATATTAAAGGAATTTAACCCGAACTTGTGTCTTTTGTTGTGTAACAAATTAAACATACACATACCTGGTGGCCAAAACTAAAGCAACTAAAATTTCGAACGGAATAAATGACCTGTAACTTTTTTCAACACATTTGAATAAACAATCCGATCCATTACTTCATAGATTGCGAAAATATATATAACTTCATAAAAATTAAAGCAACCCAATGCCATTACTGGCCCTTCTCCATGCTACCCAGTACCCTTACAATACTGTGGCATGAGTCTTTCATTTGTTGACTTTCTCGTGGTAATTTTATTCGTGTCTGGGCCTTAAATATTAAACTTTAATTCATTCGAGAACATAATATTACTCCACTGAGTCGGATTCGAATTAATATGAGCATTGGAGCCGATTTATTCACGAATAAGGTCTTTCTTCATGGTTTCCGGACCAGTTACAATAGCTCGTCCACGCTCTGATCTTATATCAACAAATTATTTTATATTCTATCCCTTTAAGGGTAAATTTATATTATCATTCTCAATGTTTATGATTTATTTCTTAACTTGTTTTTCCTATCTATTTAGTTACATGATTACAAATGCAGTGGTACTCGTTAAATTACTAGTAATATGAATACCGTTGCCACTCTCAAGATAATAATCGCGTCCTATGTATAAGACACATATCTAAACCAAAGTGTCTGTATGTATGTTTGGAAAACGGACTATTGCTACAGTGTTGTGTCTGTAGCTTATGACTTTGGACTTTTTGTTGATAATTTTCAATTAAGCGTCTTTTTTATCCACCCCATGTGTCTGCCACTTCCAATGTGACATCCCACGCAAAATACTTAACGAAAATACCCAGCAAACATTGCAGTCTGTGATTTGATGCTCCCTCAGTGGTACCTCTCTCCAATAATTGATATTTGCAAAAAACAAAATTCCCCTATAAACGGACTGTGGTAGGTTGCCTATATCGGTCCATAAATAAAATAATTCTCAGATATATCGAATGTGAATCCGATTTACTGCAAACTCTGAACACCGTAATATATATATATATATATATATATTTTACAATTTAATTTAAGCTTTAATATTTAACGAATTTGCCAGTTGTTGTTTTTTAGATTAGAGGCTATTAGGCCTACCGTAAAAATAAATGTTAATTACTTCACATTTTTATGCTTTGCATGTGGCTGGCTTAGAGATTTTATTTAACGAACCAAAGTCAACACAATGTCATTTTGTTCTTCAAATTAAAAATGAAGCATAGACAAAAAAAAAAACAAATTAAAGTTACATTTTGTTGGTAACGATTTTTTTTGGTAATTTGTAAAACCCCACAACCGTCACTTGGCAAACAGTCTTGGGCATACAACAGTCTGTATATACATACATACGCATGTACGTATATTCGTAGATTTCTATAAATATAATATTGTTTATATACAATTGTGTATACATATACATGTCTGTATATAACATTGTATATATGACGAAATAAAACGTGTCCAGCACTTTTTGGGAATCCGGTTTGAAAAATGTGTTTTTTCTGCTGTGGTTTGAAGCGATTGTGTCGACGTGCGTGTGTACGTCGCCTCGAACACATCCAGTAGGAGGTGATATTTATGAATTCATTTTTATTTACCAAAAAACAAAAAAAAAACAACAAAAATCAAAGAAATTAAGTTAAATCAAATGAGTACAATGGGGTGAGGTGAGGTGACTGATGAAGAAACAAAACAAAAAAAAAGAAAAACAAACTGGGTGATAAAAATACACCATCAGGTTGATCGATCGATGCCTAGGTCATAACGGTTCCACCCAAAGTGTTGTGGCAATCAATATTCAGTTGAAGCTATTATCTGGTAAATGATATTAAGGTTGATGGGAGAACTAAATCACGTAGCATATTTTTATGTGGGTGTTGAAGTCCAGATAGACAGTCTAATTACTGAATGAAAATTGTCCGCTTATATTTTTCGAAATTCTTGCCGATTTTCCCTTTTACAAATTGGAAAATGTTTACCAGTTTTTTATTACGGGAATATGTATAAACAATTTTAAACAGTTCCAAACAATTGATAAAATTATCAAGATCAATTACATTCAATGTTATACCCTCCGCATTCAGTTTGCAACGCCTTGAAATATTCACCGAAGACCCCATAAAGTACATATTCGTTATCAGAATAAAATTCTATGTCGAATTAAGCATATCCTTCTGTCTGTTGAAATCACTACAGATCTCACAATACTGAAGATAAAGTTTTCAAATTTTGCAAATATATTGCAACTAATCCTAGGAAGTTTGGTATTGAAAATGGGATAAATCGGACCAGGCTTTTTTATATCCCCATATAACGGTATCCCAAAATTATCGGTAATTTTGGCTCTTTTTTCAAACCGAATTGTCTGAAATGTGAGCTAGCAAATACTATTTACCCCCATATAACAGTACTAGTATTTTAAGGATTGTGGACCCGTTTATTACCTGAATTGTCTGTAATTTCGTTATAATTGGGAGTCAAATCTCCATACCTAAATACCATACCTTCCTGGCCGTAAGTCCTCTCTGACCACGATCGTTTTCGCACAGGGTTATCGTATGTGATCCATTTCTCATCTCCAGTTACCATCCGTTTAAAAAATGGGTCTATCTCATTCCGTTTGGCCAATGCTTCGAAGATGGAAATTCCATCCATCCAATTTTTTCCGTTAATTGGTGTGGAACCCAAACATCGAGCTTCTTTTAGAATCCAGCTTTGTGTAAATAGTTTTATTGTCGATTTTTAACTCCTGGGCGATGTTACCACTGTTATCATACCGGTCAACTTCGATAATGTCCCCGATTTTATGGACATTTTCGACGACCGGCCTAATGGATTTCCTTTTCCCCAAACTAATATAATTTTTTTTTAAATTGTAATGAGTTCGAGAGCAATAGCCTCAATTTTTAATTTGAGCTTGTTCATGCAACAAATTTATTGGATTTTGAACCTATTTTTAAAGTTTGGGAAAGTAAAAACTTAAGGCATAGATTAAAAATTTGGCACAGTTGTTCTCTTATCTGTAGGATATTTAGCTATTTATCTAGAATATAATTGTCATTTGTAATGACAGCCACAGACTGGTCGATTTTTATAATGTGAGTCCCATTGTGCTATATTTTTGTAAATAATTTTTATATTGGAGTTTCGATGTCTGGGAAATGTCTGTGTACAAGAACTGTTAGTATATGTCCGTCTTTGAGTTACATCCACTATATATCGAACCCAATTAATTCTATATATCTGAAGCAATTTCTCTCAGCAATTTCGTATCCCCAAGACTTGAAAATTTCATGGACTTTATTAAAACAAAATCCGTTTCACGATCAAATGGAAAGTACATTGTGTAAAATATTGAATATATCGTAAATATAATACTTATCTAAATAAATATTAAATGCAAACCTTGCATTATTGACGTGCATACATACTTACATATAAATATTCATGACATGGCAATAATCATCATGGGAGATTGAGCAACCGTTTTTGTTTTACTGCTCGCACTCTGTGATTATTGTGCTGAAACTGCAAATGCAATTTGTTGATGGCGTTGGACTGTCAGTGTTACTGTCGTCAGCAATTGCATAGTGAGTGGTCCGAGGTATTTTCAATAAGAACAATATGACACCAATAAACAAATAATAAAAATAACAAAAATAACAAAAACAACAACAACAACAATTCCTGGCCCAGATGATATCTACGATCAAGCGACAAGTTGACCAGTTGAGTTTGCAAATTCGTGTTTAGCCAATATCAGGTTCTCGTTCGCCAAGCGCATTTGGCATGATTATATTTCGTGACATTTTTATAGTCAGCGTTGGATGGTTGTTTATTTCAAATTGTTGTTTGTGTTTTTCTTTTTATTCAATTATTTTTGTTTTTTGTAAACAAAATGGGAATACATTCTAAACCAGTTAAGTAATAGAATTAAAAAAATTAAATATAATATTGGGGACGGACTTTATTGTACACTAAAAATGCAAAGTATTAACGAATGAAATATCTGATTTGTTGGATTGGATATTTCAACTTAAGATTTTCCCACTTCCTGTTAATTTTTTTCATTCATCCTTTTGAATGAAAAGTCTACAACAACAAAACAAATATCCCATTAGATTTCATACTCAAGAATTTTGCAACTTTTTTCTTAATTACGTCGTTCGAAAAGAGTAAAATATTCGAATTATTAAAGCTGCTGTGATATTTTGTTAATTCCAAACCCAAAGGATGTGGTGTGACAGCTGGGTTTTTCCCATTCTGTTGTTTGTTGTGTTTCCCTAGCAAAATATCACATTTCGTCGTTTTGGGCGAAAACTTTCTTTTCTTAATTGTCTGATATCCAAAATCTGGTTGGATAAAATTCAAAACATATGTCACTCATTTCATGCCTTCCTGTGGGTCTCTTTCATTTTTGTAGAATTCTCATGTCGAGAAGTTTTACGATAATCACTACCCGTTTACACATGGAATAAATTATACAGTGGGTGTCAAATGTTAGGGTTAACGTTTTTAAAGCGGGAAAACGATTAATAAGAATTTGATTGAAATGCATTTTAGCCATTTCAACCAGAATGTATATAATTATATAATAATATTCGTATATAGAAAAAATAAAATTAGATTGTTATTTTTTTAAACATTTGTAAATGTGTCTACAATTAAATATTAAAAAAAAAAACATTACTATTCGCCCGAGCCCGAACATTGGATATATCCACTATAGGTATACTAATAGTTACTTGAAATGAAAGTATAGGGGACATACCAAAAAG